TGTTCCTGGGTGACCTAGTCTGGGTGACCCTGCTCTGGGGGGAAGTTGAACTGGATGAGCTTTCCAGGTCCCTTCCAACTCCTGACATTCTCTCATTCTGTGATTCTACCTTTTGAGGTCCTCAGGAACACCTGCAGATGTCTTGAGGAGAAGCATACTTACATTTGCTACCACTTTCACTTCCTTGTACTGCGCTTCATAAAATATCCCGGCGTTCTCCAGGGCCTCAGTGAGCGAGGGGCCGTTCTTCACTTGCTTGTCCAGGCCATTCACAAATTCCTCCAGCTTTGAACTCGCTTCCTCAAACTCCTTGGAGAATTTCTTTCCTCCCGTTTTGTCTGCAGGGAGATGAACACCGCACCGTGAGCTGCCATCCAGACAGGAACTCAGCCCCCAGACGCACATCCTCAGCAGCAGCAACAGGGAAATTCAGACCAGGGACACTGCACCACACCACACAGCCCCAGACCACCCCATCATGCATCCTCTAAAGAAGAGGCCAAGCTGCCTGCAGTCTCCATTGGTTTCCAACTCATGACCAGGGATAAGGAAGTTTAAGACACAGAAATGTACAATTTTCATCTACGCAGAGAGCAGATTTTCATTTGGGAAGAGGCAAAAATCTCGAGTTTTATTTTTCCTTCATTATTATCTTTCTAAAGCCAAAGGGGCTCATAGCACCCATGAGCAACGACGACTGGAAATGCCCATTTTCAAACACTGCAGTCACAGATCACCACACGCAGGCAGAACTCTCTGCAGCTTTACAATTAAACTTCTTGTTAATCTGGCTCAACATAACTCAGTTAATTTTGCCCTAAAATGCGCTGCTTGCTGCTGGCCTTGCAGCATTCTCAAACTGTTGCTATCGCTAGATGCCCTAATTAACTTAAAATATTAAATCGGAAATTATCTAAGGGGTTCTGCACACATTGAGAACAACGCTGCTGTAAATCCACGCAAGGGCATGTTCGAACAGTACAAAACAGCCTCCATCACGTCCGCTTCACAATTACCACCACTTTCAGGCTTCTGCTTGGCAGCACTTGGAAATCTTGGCATTTTACCGCCCTAGACGGATTTCTGGTGTGAGGCTGCACAGAACCGAGGAGCTCCTACACGCCTGCACCTCCTGCAATCACAGCGGGTTCGCAGGTTCAACCTTTACCTTTCAAGCACTTGAGCGTCTCGGTGCTGCACACGTCCACTCTCATGGTGGAAAGCTGCTTCTCCTTCAGCTCGATCTGATCTTCCGAGCGCTTGTACAGCAGCAGCTCATCGATGAGAGACTGCGGCTGCAAAACCAAACAACAGCATCCTCATCACGCCACGCACAGCCCGCAGCACAGCCCTGCCCCAGGACAGACAGCGCGCGGTGCAAGACCATTCCCAAATGCGAACCAACGCAGGATGTGTGTGAACCTCCGGGGTTTTAACCCCAAGTCACGGATCAGCGCACCTGGGCTCAGATGGGGCTGTAATTCCTCAGTCTCCTGGCTACAGTGGTTAGGAGGGACAGCCCTTATTTTATTTTTTAAAATTTTCTTTTATTTATTTTATTTTTTACATTTTTATTTTTTACTTTCTATTTTAATTTTCTATTTTTTAATTTTTCTTTTTATTTTTTTAACCTACTCGTGCCCATGCGTTTCATTTCCGCACCACACTTCTCTGTGGGACCCAATTTAAATACATTTCTTGCCATCAACTCCTCAACCACCCTGAATCCTCCTTCACACCTCAGCCAGCGCCATCCGTAAGAGCTGCCCCTCCATGTGCAGGACATCAGATCCCAGTGGATCCCAGCAGATCCAAGAAGGGAAACTGCTCGTGTGAGATTACCCCAAATGCAAACCAGTGCTCCCATGGGCAGCCCCCGCACTGCTCCCAGTACATCCTAGTGTCTTCTGCTCTGCAGCAGCACAGAGGAGGGGTGACTGCCCTAACAAAACCCAACCAAAATGTCATTAAATACCAAGGAGCAAAACGGCACCGAATACTCGAGCTTGCCCAGCAGGTTAAAGCTGCTGGTGGACATCAGCTACAGCCCAAGGACAGAGATTAGCACAACAGAGTATTTTCACTTGCAGACTTACTCTGAATTCGGCAACGATCTTGGACTTCAAAGCAGCTTTTGGGTTCGTGGATGCTGTTGGAATAAAAAGTATGAAGAAACCAAAGAACTACACCGTAACCAAAAGTCAGTCACAAAAGGCAGCTCTAATAACAAATATTTTAACGTAATTCAACAAAAGGCTCGCGGGCTGCTGTTCTTCACTGCACTTCCTCCCACACACAGGTGTCCCAGTGCTCTGGGTTTCCCTCAATGGGACACAGGAGATCGTGACTGAGCTCAGCAAGTTACACTATCACTTTTTATTTTGTTTTAATGAGCTATAAACATGTACTGTGCACGCTCCAGCTCCACCTCTGGGAAGGGTTGATCTAACAGCGTTACTCTCTACAATAAAGGCAATGATTTCCTCAGTGCAGGACTCACAGCACTGCTCTGCTCAGGGCATCTCTGCGGTGCTCACCGGGCCTAACCGCGCTCCCACCCCTAAAACCCCTCACCCCCCTGTGCTGACACCTCAGTAACAGGGGGGAATGAACCCCACTATCACAGGACACTGAATCCATTGATTTCTGGGCAAAACAGGAGAAACTTCTGACAAGAGAAGCACTAAACCCTTCATCCACACTGAATACAGCACATTTGTCTGGGAGAGACCTGCTGATGTGAACCAAGTAATGAACGCTGCTGAACTCTTGGTAACCTTCTGATCTCAGCACTTGCACAGGGGGCACACGCCACATCTCACACCTGATGCTCCACAACTCGCTTTAGGGACCACTCAAGGCTTTAGTGTATAATTCACAGAATCACAGAATATGAGGAGTTGGAAGGGACCTGGAAAGCTCCCCCAGTGCAACCCCCCAGAGCAGGGTCACCAGAGCAGTCACCCAGGAACACGGCCAGGGCTTTGGGTGTCTCCACACAAGGAGACTCCACAGCCTCTCCACAGCCTGGGCCATGCTCTGCACCCTCACATCAACAACTTTGGCCTCATGTTCACATCACCCTCCTGTGCTCCAGCTGCACCCATTGCCCTTGTCCTGGCACTGCCAGCACTGAGCACAGCCTGGCTCCGTCCTCCTGACACTGCCCTTTCCAAATGGAGACCAGCAATGAGGGCACCCCTGGGCTCCTCTGCTCCAAGCTCAAGAGCCCCAGCTCCCTCAGCTGCTCCTCATTTGGGAGATGCTCCACTCCTCCATCTCTGTAGACCAGTACCACTGGTGCAATTATAAAGGCATTTCCTACTGGACTGTGCTCCCAGCACTGCCGGATGCCAAAGCTCACGATCTGCACTGCCATTTCCCAGCTCAGCTTTAACCCAGCCCCTGGTTTGCTGCTGAAGATGCGATGCCGAAGGCACCGTCCACCTCTGCAGCAGCGCTCTGTGGTCCTCAAGGGGCTGCACCCCTCCTCTCTCACAAGGATTTTCTTTCCTTACTTTCACCCCTTTACAAAGGGGATCTCTAGCAACAGCCCCATGGTGTTCTACACATTATCTGTGAGGAGCTTTACAGCCCCTGAAAGCGTATCCTGGCTCCTGTCATGGCCAGGAGCTCTGCCCGTTCGGGCTGGCCTCTCCTGCTCCTCACGAGGCCGTTCCTGCACCAGCTCAGAGCGTTCACGTTGGTTCCTTACTTTGCGACTTCTTCCACGGCTTGTTCGGTTGTTTGTTCAGCGTTTCCTTCAGCTGCTTCTGAGTTTTGAACGTGGTACCTGGAAAACATGGCAGTTTTTGCAGTCTGGCATTAGGGGATGCCTTGAAGGATCTGGTTTTGGTGCTGTGTGGTTGCACGGTAAAAGACTGAACAGAAATTTGGTTTAAAATACCCAGACCAACTTCCTCAGTGCTGGATGCCCAAGAAAACCTCGGTTTACTCAGGGACGCAGCAACCCATGGGGTGGTCTTCACTTTTAAATCAAGTTTCTGTTTGCCCTTACACTGAGACAGTTCAGAAACCACAGCAGAGACCACGTAAAAAGGGAAAACACACGGCCATATAAAAGAAAACCACATCAGCCTCTTTCAGTAGGCTTTTACAAAATCAGAAGTAACGCACA